GTGTGTGATTCAGCATCCACCCCAACCTGCGGTCTGTGATCTACTGCCAAGCTCTGGCTGCAGGTGGCCAGACAGAGTGGGAGTTTGCCTGGAACAGGTTTCAGAGCTCCAGCGACACCTCTGAGAAAGAGCAGCTCCGTGAAGCTCTGTCCTGCACCAAGAAGATTTGGCTGCTGAACAGGTGAAACCAGAAGTGATGAGGGACACACACACCCAGGACTAAACATCAAGTCCTCTCGTGCAATATACGCTTTCCTCGGCTTATTTGACTCTACTTGTTTGACGATTATGGAGTCCATCGCGCCCTTGGTGAAAAGGAGATCTAGGAACTCTGTTGGCCCGTGGCTAAACGGCACCACGCGCGCCCTGCGGAGACGGTGCCGGCAGGTGGAGCGAAAATGGAAGAAAGATAGACTACATGTCTCCCTTACTATGTTAAGGGACAGCTTTCTTTCTTATCAGAAAGCTGTTAAAGACTCTAAATCGCAATACGTATCTGTCATTTTGAATAATAGTCATCACCCAAAGGTTTTGTTCAATACCATTAATGCGGTTATCAATCCTCAGGCTACATTGGCTACTGAGGGCTCGGTTGTGAATTGCAATTTATTTCAGAGATATTTTATTGATAAAGTTTTGAATATTAGGCGAAACATTTCCATGTCCCTCCCTCATGTACCGCCTGTATCTCAGGTACGTCATATATTTGATTCCTTTACTTTGATCTCACTGCATCAACTTAAAACATTGGTTGCGCATCTCAAACCTACCTCCCCAGGTAGCCAAAATAGTGCGGCCCGATGATGGCCCAGATCCGGCGAACCGGATGAACTAACTCGGCCCAGATACGGTTGCCAAACTCGCGTCGGGTACATAATGATATTGCCATGGCTCTTGATGCCAAGCGCCCCATTATTTTAGCGTTACTTGATCAGCAGCATTTAATACTGTCGACCATGCAGTTTTATTATCTACACTGGAACACCTTGTCGGGCTGAGGGGCACGGTTTTAAATTGGTTTAGGTCTTTCTTGAGCGATAGAACCTTTTCTGTCATTATTGATGAGTTTTCTTCTGATACAGTCCAGCTAACCTCAGGCATTCCACAAGGATCGGCCTTGGCACCGCTACTTTTTTCCTTATATATCTCACCATTGGCATCAATTATATCCAGGCATAATGTTCATTGTCATTTTTACGCGGATGACATTCAAATTTATATGCCACTGGTACTATCCGACCCAAATGCATTTACTCCACTGTATGACTGTATTTGGGATATCAAGAATTGGCTTGCTCAGAATTTTCTCCACTTAAATGAGAATAAGACGAAAATTATCTTTATCAGCCCCGATCCAGCTGCAGGTGTGTCTAGCTCACTTGCCCCTGCTCCTGCTCCTGCACTCACAGACATGGTAAAAAACCTGGGAGTGATATTTGATACCGGTTTTAATTTTGATAAGCAGATCAGAGCCGTTGTTAAGACCAGTTTCTTTCACCTCAGACTTTTCACCAAGGTTAAGCCTTTTTTATCCCGGGGAAACTTAGAAAAGGCGATCCATGCTTTTGTCACTTCGTGTTTAGATTATTGTAATGCGCTTTACGTTGGTATATCTCAGTCGCTGCTGAGGAAACTCCAGCTGGTCCAAAATGCGGCAGCTTGGTTTCTGTCCAACACTCCCAGGTTTGCCCACATTACTCCGGTTCTTCACACATTACACTGGCTGCCTGTACATTTTAGAATTGAGTTTAAGATTCTTTTATTTGTGTTCAAAGCTTTATACGGCCTTGCCCCACTTTACTTGGCTGATCTTTTATCTATTTATGTACCGCCTAGAGCCCCACGCGCCTCTAAAAACCTCTCTAGTGGTCCCACGGTCCCGATCCAAAAAATGGGGTGACTGCGCATTTGCAATTTACGGCCCTAGATTTTGGAACTCGCTACCGCTAGAGATTCGATCTACGACCGAGCTAGCAGTTTTTAAATCCATATTAAAAATGGCACCTTTTTAAACAAGCGTTCGAACTTTAATTTGTTTTATTTGCCGTTGAATGGCATCGTGCACATGTTTTATATTTTATGATTATCTGGTTATTGTTTAGTAGCGTTTTCTCAGTTTTAGTAGTTTTAGTGTATAGTTATCCTTATTCTGTGCAGCACTTTGGGCTCTGTGAGTTGTAAAGTGCTATATAAATGATGCTTATTATTATATACGGAATTCTGTAATAATAATAAAAACCCCAGTGTCAGTGCCTTTCTTATCTTGCAGATACCTGGAGTATACTTTGAACCCTGACAAGATACGTCTGATGGATGTTGATTCCACTATAATCTACATAGCCAGGAATGTGGCGGGTCAGGCGCTGGCCTGGAACTTCATTAGAGCGCACTGGGAATACGTCAGTCAGGAGTAAGACACTGTGTCCACTGATTCTCTTACTGGTTTATACAGATTACATAGTGTTTTCTGACTTAACTGAACGAATGTTTGAGATTGTGTAGCTGGGTTGGTCCAATATAGGTGTGAAATGGAAGAAAAACCTTTGGTTTGAGGTGGATGATAAGCAGTATTTTGTGTTCATGCTAAAAGTGTAAATGTAGCTGCTTTAATTCCAGCAGGTTTAAATATTCATGGTTTGCCCCAGCACATATGCTTGTTAGGGTGGAGAAGCCGTGCTAATGCAGCAGTTACACTATGAGTCAGAACAGACATGAATTTCTTTTTCTCTTTATAGCGCCACCAATCTGTTTCTTTGTCCATTTGGAGGCAGAATTTCTCTGCAAACTTAAAGTCCTGCACAACTGTTGTGTCGTGACCGCATGAAGTTGATTTAACATGTTCGAAGGAGCAACATTAGTATTCGTTTGGAATCATGTTTCTGTCCGCCTGATTGTGCTTTGCTTTGCTTTTGGTCTCCCCTGCCTCCTGTCTATCAGGCTGACAAATACACAACTCGTGATTTCTGCTCAGTGTGTAAATAAACAATTGTTGGGCTTAACAACTTTAAGTGTTCATGTGTTAGAACAGAGTGTAGCAGTTTGTCCCTTGGCTCCCACGTGGGCAAAAAAAGCAGTCACTTAAGCAACTTTAAACTCAGCCTCATCTTGCCTTCGGGCTGTGATTTACAGAGGTGTCTTTACACTGAATTGACCAGCAAACAAATTACTTGAATAAACAAGCAGGGCCACAAAAAACAGACAATAAGCAGGGGCTTATGAAAATCTTACATGGTGTCATCAGGTGCAAAGGTCTTGCTTCTTTTTTTTGTTCTCCTTCATAAAATCCGCGCTGTTAGTGCCGTTGTCAGGAAGCTGACTGTATCCAAGTCCATACATAACACACAGAGTTTCATTTCATAAACTAACAGTGACAGTAAAACAAGTAATCAGCAGGGATTTAAAACTGTCCTCTAATCAGTAAAACAGTTTGACCATTAAGATCAGTGCAAATCAATACCTAAGGTTTCTTTCAGAAAATATTCTGGTTCATGCTAGTTTACGGTTTTGAAATCAACCTAACTACAACTAAGTCAGTCTATTCCTGCAGCCCTCTAATAACTCCTTTATGAAGGGGAGGATGTTCAGTTTGCGTTCAAACGGTTTCAGAGAGGCGTCGATTCACCTGACTCAAGTCTGTTGAACTCTACTTTGTTCTACTGAAAGCTGTTTCTAATATTTTGTTGCCTGCCTTTCTCTGCTGCCAGGGGTGGAGCCTCACTGATTGAAGGAGTGACCAGCAGGTTCTCAACACAGTTTGAACTAGAGGAGGTAATTTCAGCTATTTATCTATGTTCAGATCATAAATCCATTAGGCAGGAAAACTCTCATCTTTCCTGTCATGAACCAGTAAGTGATTTACACGAGTAACTGCATGTACCCTGATTTCTCATCGTCTCTCTGTCACTGAAAGTTATATTTTGTAACTCATAAAAAGATTATACCTGACAGTGAATTGATCCCAATAACAAGCACTTGTGTGTACTCTAAGCCTGTTATATCATATTCCACTGTGTCATAAAGCTCCACTGTTGCCCAGAAACATTTAAAAACACATCAGTGAGCTACAATCTTGCATGGGTGGCATGTTCCTTCATTACTATGAACTTCTGACTCAGTCTCAGCTTTATAGTAAATGTTACTCCAAGTCACTTCTAGCAGCAGAACAGCATATGAGAGGCCAAGTCAAAATGATTTACAGGAGTGTTCCTGGTAAAGAAGGAAGATGTGTAATAGTTTTTGGACAACAGTGGATCTCTGTGACACAGAGGAAGAAGGAACTAGAAAATTGCATTTTCTGAAGAAAATGCGTATGGATGCTGAATGCTGAAATATCGCCCTGAAAAAGCTGAACATTTTGACACCTGAATGCTTTTGCTAGCTGAAAGTATGCTGAAGTTTGAATTTCCCCATTTATTTGAATGGGGTAAGAAATAATTAGGCTTTGGCTACAGTTGCAACACTTGGGAGAATGATTGATTCATTTTGGTTTTGGTCCATGTTATCTGGTCCACAAAGCAATTTGTACTTTCAAAAATATAAACTGACAGGATTTTTATTTTGTTGTGTGACAGCATCATGATGGGCTGAAAATAGCATTTAAAATCTGTACATGATATGGTGCAGTATATTTGAATTATGTTTATATTGTCTCATAATTATGAGACAAGACTTCCTTTTTTTGTTTCTTTGGCAGATCTAATGTGGTTTCCTAACATCATTTTATCATCCTGTGTGTGTGTGTGTGTGTGTGTGTGTGTGTGTGTGTGTGCGCGCAGCTGGAGCATTTTGCAACTAAATATGATGTGGAATATGCTACCAGGGCAGTAAACCAGGCCATAGAGCAAACCCGGGTCAACATTGAGTGGGTCCGCAAGAACAAAGAGATTGTACTAGAGTGGTTTGAAAGAGAATCAACTTCACAGTGTTTATAGCCTCTCAGGCTAGTGGTGCTGGCAGTCTCTGCCTCCACTGAATCCACTTCACAACAACTGAGCAAGAGTGACTGTCACTGTGATTCATGAGAGAAAAGTGGTACTCAAGACCAAAGTAAAGACACAGCAGTGTTCATGTATATACTCATGTGCAATATGTATAAAGGCTATTCAGTAGAATGGAATCAACCTTACATAGCTCTGTGTCATAAATACATATAAACGTTTTAAAATCACCTTTTTATTGTTGCTTTTGACATTTATCAGAAATAGTTTATAATCCAAACGTAATTTTTTACTGTGGAAAATGGATTGATTCAGAAGTTAGTGCAACAGCTAAACTTTAACAGTGCACATCATGATCAAAGCAGAGAACCTCGTATTTTTGTTAGACCAACCATGTCTATATGTGTGTTATATGTGGTATAATCAAGGAACCTAATTATTCTTTATGTTGCTGAAATAATTTTTAATAAAAAACAAACTTTGTACTAAAGATGAGTCCTTTATTCCATTACATTTTGTATTTACTGACTTCATGATTTATAATATCAAGAAGACCTGATGACACTTGGTGGGCTGTTTGGTCATTGTAAAACCATAAACCTGATCAAAATATACCCATGCAGTCCTGATGGAACACATTAGCTGAGGTTTTGAGCGTTAACTAAAACAGTACTTAGAGATGCTTTTTCATAGACTTTATTGCTTATTTAGTCATGAATGTTTGTGTTACACAGACACCTGAGAAGACTTCAGAGGCTTTAAGCAGCAATAATTGTTGCATCATTACTTCTATAAATCATGAAGAAGCACATATATTTTCTTTGCATTAGATTCCACCTCAGTATGAGGAACAATCTGTCTTCATTCTCTCTTCTGTTTCACCCGCTGCTGAAGAGATTTCTGCAGTTTCACATAAGTTAATCTCCCTGATTTTGTTACACTGTTCTTGGGTACTACATGTAGCACTCTGGGGCAAATTTGTCACCTTGAGCAGTATGACTAAAACTGAATTTACCTGGTGCAACTATAAGAATACGGGAGTGTATCAAAGTACAATTAGAGTATATGTATACCACTGTTTTTTTTTCCCTTTCTCTACTCACCCTCACAGGACTTTAGGACACAGTAAAACTAAACTGACCAAACACCCAGTTTCACATTGGAATTAAATACTGCTGATGCATAAGCCTCAGCCTTGAGTTGATAAAAAATTTATAAGAAGACCTAGAGCTGGCTGAATGAAAAGAAAACCAGACATGCACTTTAAAATAAACTGAGAGACATATGGAAGGACTGAGTAAAGCTGGAAGACAACGGGTAGTATTTAGGACAATAATACCAGGGCATGGGGAAAACTACTGCACATATGGTCTCTGTTCAGTGGGCGCAATATTAAAGTCACCTAACTTCCTTCAGAGAATATAATCCTGTCTGACTGGAGAATATTTACAAATTGTTATTATTATTACTAGGGTACAGTCCATGTGGACACACACAAGCAAGCATAGTACCAGTCTGATAAATGTAGTGATTTAAGCCAAAGTAAACAAGAAATGGGTGAAGTTTCAAAGACCGTCTGCATCACAGCTAACAGCCAGATCCACTGTGTGCAGCTCAAAGAATCTGGTCTCATACTGTGGAAGTGATGCAGGGTTTCTTGTCCCAAATCCACACATGTAGGAGGTGCAGTACCCCAGTGAATTGTGGGAGTCCAGTCCAAACACAGAGAGCCAGAAATGGAGCCAAGCTGGAAGCTAGATCAGGGCCAAGAGCTCAGACTGATGGGAGTGATGGTTTTCTTAGTCGTCCTGAGAGAGAAGTGGGAGAGGTGAAGCTTCTCTGGTTTCTGTTTGTGTAGGACAAGTTTTTACTCTGGTACAACATGTTCTCACCCATTCATCCTCCTCTGCTCCTGCTCCTGCTCCTTCTCCTCCCAGCTTCTGAGTGTTGCCTGCATCTGCTTTGTTGGCCATGATCTTGTCCGTCCACGATGCTCCAGCCTTTTCATCTCCAGCAAAGTTACACCTGGTCACTGTGCCACCATCCACTTTGGCTAAGGAGACTGGAAAGACCAAAGAAAGCAAATTTTAATGTAGGACCTTTCAGAAGCAGATGGCACAAGTACTTCAGAAAGAAGCGAGACAAAATACAGACAGAATGAAACAAAAGCTACACAAATGCTAATGTGAACAAGTTCTGCAGATGCCTTTTAAAAGTGTTCACAGATCGTAAAGCCCCTGAAACTAGATTTAAAATGTGTACTTCTCTGTAACTAAATAAGCAAAATGCTGTTGTACATTATCTGGCCTCCAAAATTTTATAGGCTTTCTTAAATTCCTGAAATGTGAAATTACTAAGCTGAAATAAGGTGTACAATTAAATATCGCCTGTGTGACAGGAGATGCATTTCAAATGACTTACTATCTGGTAAAAGGAAGCTATACAAGGTGGAGCTGGAGCCAGGACAGCAAAATAACCTCTGTGCTTATGTGTTCATCAGACCTACAGTGTCTACAGCAACACTGGCCTGCTGATACTGACAAGATCAAAATAATCTCATGTCGTTTCTTAGATCATTTCAAACTTCTGTCTTCACTGACAACTTCCTCAGTATCTCATCCAAAACACCAGGTAACCAAAGCAATGACTGAATGCTTCATCTTCTTTTTATTGAGTCTGGCCAAAGGCAGAAATTATGGTTGTCACATTTTCTCATGTGAAACAGGCAAATGTAGACTAAATGAAACTGAACTAAAGAAACATGAAAAAATTTGAATGAATTTTTAATGCTACCTGTCTGACACCCCAGACAACAAGTTTCCTCTGAGGAAAACTCTCCACACTTTGCACTGAATCTGTTTGTCTTATATTCCTCAAGATTTCAAAACTTCAAAGGTACTGTTAGGTACTTTCTTAGTTAGATAGATATTGATTAGAGATCTGTTGTATTAGAAGATGTTAGTGTAGCCAGGATGTCTTCCTCAGGCTGTTAAATGCAAGGTTAGTTAAGGCAGAAAGGCTGCCGTCAGGGACAAATGTTATTATGACGGTAAAAGTAACCATAATATTTGTCTTAATGTGTAATGTTATGTCAAATTGTTTTAGATACACACCACGAAAACAACAGCCACACACATTATTTTCTTCATGTTTTGTCTACTGCTCTGCGCAGCTGCCAAGCTGGCATATCAGGTGACGTCACGGTTCGACAGCCCAGAAAGGATTAATATTGTATAGCAATGCGTGGTTCGGGGTCTTCCTG